TGTATATTCAGGTCAGTTCCCTGACTCAGACGGTCAGACAATAAGATTTGAGGATGTCTACAGCATGTGCTTGTTGGTCAGATCTCTTCCAGACTTCAGTCCTAGAAAAAGATTTACAACTTCACTAGCACCTAAAGTGAATCTTTCAAACAAAAGAGAATGTTTGTAATGGCCCATCTCTCTAGGTAGCTGAACCTGTTACCATATGGCCAGGCTGGATGGAGTTCAGTCATAGCTCTCCAAAAAGAAGTTTGAATTGTTTAGGCTGGAGCTGGCAAAGAACTATGAAAAATAGCAAATCTTGACTAAAGAGAAATGAGCTGTAATTTAAGATAAAGGCAAGTGACAAAGTCATTCCTAAATGAGGAAAGCAAATTTTAGATGCACACAGAGCATGCCAAATGCATGTGGTGCTAATCAGAACTGCCAGTGCAACCTGAGCTGCCATCTCTTACCTGCCAGAGATACAACACTGTCTGGGTCTGACTGCGTAGGAGGGCAAAGCTCACCTATGGTAGGAATCCTGGGAGCGAGTTGGGGGAGTCAACCCCATCTTCTGCACGGCTGAAGGGAAAGAATGTTTGGAGTGATGAAAATTGGAGGACAATAAAAAATATTACACAAAGAAAATATGGTGTATGCCATCTAAAATGACAAAAAGCTTACAATATAGAAATGACTGTCTTGAAACAGAAATGGATTCCAAAGACAAAATTATTTTTTATGCCAGGGATGATGAAAAATAGTTTTTAAATTACAGTATTCAAAGTATAACAGAGGGTGCACAGCTCAAAACAACTCTAACTTGTGGCACCCCTGCCATCCCTTTGATGTGGGAAGTCCTCAACCAAGCCAAAGCACTGTGTGAGCATAATCAGAGCTGGGAGTTTAATAACAGAGATGGTAGGTTAATTATAAAGCTCCAGTGGTTCTGCCCAAATCCCTGTGACAATAGTCAGAGGGTCTAACGTGGTGCTCAGCTCAATGATCTCCAACCGTGGAAATCTTGGCACCTGCTCTCCAGCACAGGATCTCTTCCTGTGACCTGGTTTCACACCCTGCATGAATGCACCACCTGGGGGCATTCCAGATTCTGGCAAAGCAAAACGTGGTTTTGCTCTCCCCAGCCCGTTTGTTTTTTGCATCCATTGGACAAGTCACTGCCACATTGAAAAGCAAAATGAAATTCAACTGTATTTCTTTTTTTAGAAAAAAGGAACTCTTTCAAAGAATTTGTTCAGTAAACTAGAGAACACGGTGCAAGACCTCGGATGGGTAATGTATTGTTGTACTACTTAACTACAATCAGCCGTGTCAGGAGACACCTTTGATCAACGACCCTATAATTATGCTAAGGCTTTCACCAAATGATGAATCCCAATTGGCTGAGCCAGAGCCCTGCCTTTCTAGACAAGGGTAAATATTGTGTCGACTCACCTGTTCATTCATTTCAGCAAGCCCTGACCCGTAGAATCATTTAGGTGAGTATTTACTGATTGTTTTTATGCTGTTTAAATTTTTACTATTTTTAAATTCAAGTCTCAGGGAGGGAAGGTAAAATTTGGTAGAACTTTCCAGAAAGATTGTCAGAAGTCATGAGGTGTAACCACTTACTTGTGTTACACACACTGAATGGTGTGTGATCTTATCAGCTGTTTCTCTCTCAGTGTATTTTAACTTTTTTTTTTCAATGCCAGTGATTCATTGAACTATTACATACAAAAAATTACTCATTACCTCCACATATTTAGCTGTCAAAGGTATTGAATCAAATCTATGTAGACAGACAAACAAAATTGCTAAAACAATCTTATTTTAAATAAGCCTTGTTTCAAGCTTTTTAGGTTAAAATGTTAGTCTAGGCAGTTTTTCTTAGGGGGTGGGAATAAGTTTCCTTTACAGGTAAGAGTAGGATAATAGGGATTTTTGTTTCTTTAGGAATCTATTGGTATAAACTTAAGCCTGGGAAAGTTTAAAATGAAATTACTTCATGCTAGTGAATGCCTCCAATCAGGGGAGAAAGAAAAGACACCTGCATGTTTTCAACCTTTTAACTCTGGTAAATGATATGCTGCAGTGTAATAGTTTTTTTTTTTTACATGAAGCCACAGGCAGGCAAGACAATCCACATATCTGAGGTAAGAGGTTTAAGCCAAGAGTCGCATGTAAGCAATGGAGCACGTGCTGGGCAATCCCACACAGGTGTGGGCTGGCATGGGTCTGCACTAAAGCCTCTCAGGAGGAAAAATCTGAGAGGGAGGGAGGATGTGCGCAGCAAGAGCCAGGCCTGGATAGCACTCACTGTCCCATGGCAAATGGTCCAAGCTCCCTCTCTTAACATGCTGGATGTTAAGATCTCTTAACCTTGAAACCAATAGACACTGTGTTTCTTAGCTTTGCAATTTGGTCAAAGTTTGTGAGGGGGTTTGCAGGTTGTCCCAGATGCCGGTGGAGGGCTCAGGTGTCCCAGCTGTACATCTGCAGGGAAGGAACCAACTTTGCCACCCTAACTCGCGGCAGGTCCAAAAAAAAGAACACATCTCCTCAGCTGGGAGCCACAAGCCCCTGCTTTCAGTTCCTGCACTGTAAATCCTTTCCCTTAGGCTTTGTCCAAGGGTTATGCTAATGTTCTTGCTCAGGCAGGCCCAACTGCGCTCCTTTCTTCTTTTCAGCTGAACTGTTAATTCTCTGCATACCCGTTTCCCAAAACAATGCTCGATAATGCTAATGCCACCTTCATAAATCACTGGTTTTCTGCATAGCTTTGTACTCACTTTTGTTTTGAGACTTTGACATCTGTTTGCCCATCTCTCCCACTTATCTCCAGGGATGGGTGGCAATTAGACCGGCTCCTCAGTATTAGTGGGTTTATCAAAATAACAAAAGGCTATGTGAGGGCTGTGAAGGAACAGTAGGTGAAAAGGGACACAGTAGGAAAGAGGAATTACTCTTGAGGCAAGATTTATTTCTTTACTGCATTTTCATATTTTAGTCAAATTGTGTTTATTTATATACAATTGTGGGAGAAAGGAATATGGAATGAATTACAGTCCCAGGAGAGGAAGATTAAAAAGAGAGAACATTCAGGTATTGCAGAAGAGAACTTGAAATCACATACTGTGCAGACATATGTTAATGTACAAACTGGTACTGAGGTTAATAATACATATTTATTTCCAAGGATAATTYGCTTTGAAGACCTCCCCTGCTACCCTGCCTCCTGTTGCTCTAGCAACACCTTCTAGAGTGTGGCTACTGAAAACCCAGGAACTATTTAATCCATGCAGGTTTCATTTTCCCCAGGGGTGTTTCTGCTCCCATACATTTGAAAGCTAATGCCACTATCATCTTTCTTCAAGGTTTTACTTTTTTCTAAAAAAGATGGCACCGTTTTTTGAGTCAGTTTCAGATACAGAATTGCCTGTTGTGTAAATTTTAATACTGAAATACTTCTAAGGATTATGCAAAAGTCTGTCCTGGTCTCTTCTGCAGACACACTCCAGAAAAATCTCACCTTTTCCAAAGGCACAGTTACTTTTTTACAGCGTAGATAATATTTTTTTTCATAATTCCTAGATTAGAGTAATAGTTTCTTAGGGAGAGAAATAAATTTCTAACACAGATGTGAAATGCTCCCTGCTTTGTATAGAAATATACTGCAGTTCTTCCCATGCTGCATGTTTGCTTAGAGGGAAAGAATGTATGTTTTTCTGTTGGGTTCAGACTTCTGGTTTTCAAAATAGTATTCATAAGGGAGAGGATGATCATTAAGTGTTTACTAATAGCAGATTATAATCCTCCATATTATGGGCCACCTTCAATAGCATCTATACACTTGTAGGTGTAAGATTGTCATGTTTGGAAAAGCTCACTGAGATGATTGAGAAGTGCTTAGGAAGCCTGTCCTCACACTTTAATGTGCACAATGATCTACACTAAAGCTCTTTGTAAATACTGCTGTCCAAAAGAATTTAAAATGATGCTGGAGTACATGATGCTGCAGAAAATCTGACATTGGGCATCCTAAGTAACATTCCTAGTGGAATGGACTAGTGGAAGTTGGACTAGGTGAACTTTAAAGGTCCCTCCTAACCCAAACCACTGTATGACTCTATGAAAATTTGACTACTACTTTGAGAAGTAGTCAAAACAAAGAGGAGGCTCACTATATAAGCACAAAGAAAATTGGGTTTGGGCCATTTGTGTTTATTTTTTTTGAAGGCTTCTAATTAGAATTATTCATGGGATTTCAGTGTAATAGAGTGAAAAACATACTTGACTAAAAACAAACGAAAGAAAAACCAGTAGTTGCTTTTAAAAACTGGGCTGTGTTTTGCCCAGTATTCTAGGTTAGGATAGCAGTGGTGTAGCATAGTGATCCAAATATGCTCCCAGGTCATTCTCACCTTTAATTAGCTGCATATTAATCCATATTCATGATAAATATACAATTATATTTTTTAACACTATATTGACTAGTAATGGATTTTTCTTGCTACAGAGAATATATCTGGACTTGTTCTGCTGCAAAATACTAGAGATTCAGCAGACAGTGATTATTTTGCAGAGTAATCTCAGTGAGACAGAATACTTTGCAAAGTGACACATGATGGACTCTATTTTGTCCCTGACTCCTCTGCAATGGAAACCAGCATTACAAAATCTGAGTTCTGCCACATCTATTTATACATAACACAGCAAAGGAAATTTTTCCAGGTACTCTTGGAAATGTGTTCAGATAGTTTATTTGACTAACTTGCTAAAAACCAAATTAAAACATTAATTAACAGGTTAAGATATTTAGAATTTTTATAAAATTGCAAATTAGAACTTGCAAGAGAAAAAAAAAAGAATGAATAGTATAGAGATTTTTCTAATACATGAAGGCAATTATGGAACACTGCAGCAGTCATCCTAAGACTATGAAAATAATTTGGACATAATAGTAAAAACTTATAGTTTAACTCATTTAAATAAAATGAGTTAAACCCATATATTTAACTCATTTAAATAATTTAAAAGTTGTTTGACTTTTAAAAAAGTTTGAAAAGTTGTTGTATATGTATGTGTAGAAGGAGGTTTGTTTACAATCTGGATGCTCAGTTCCTGACCTTTAAATCACTGGCATATTTTGATTTTTTTTTTTTCCACAGGCAAGAGTCATGAATGCTGACACAGAAAATTCTTAGGAAGTTTATTCAGGTCCTCATGTACTCATTGCCCTGTGCTCAGAAATGGAACTCAGGAATGGGAGTAACCAATGATGAAAGAGATGATTTGTCAGTTCTGGATGATAAGGACAGCCACGGCATTGGGGTGTAGTTTGACAAGCATCTCTTAAATCAGAAATGCTGACTAAACTAGCCAGTTTTGCTGGTTCATTTACCTAATCATAAAAATCCCTTCCTCCTCTTTCAGCTGAAGCATTTTCAACGACAGCAATTCATTACGTGGCCTCATTAACAGTTGCCTTAGCCCAGCTAAGAAAATTATACTGAAATGAGGGTGGAGTTTTACAACCACTGTCACCATCAGTGCTTACCAAATTCTGACTTAACAGGGAAGTGAAGCTTAAAGAATTTGAACAATGAAGCTATATCCTCTGTGCAAACACCACCTTTCACAGGTTAAACCTGCCACTGGCTGTGTAGCACAGACAGTTCAGAGGTGGACCTTCTCTCTGTGGACCTTGCTATTCCTCACAAATGTTAATGTTATCATCACAACACCCATGTGTGTTTGGGTTAATTGAATGTCATTGTCTTTTCTTTAAGAAGTGCCAAAATTACTCAAATGGGGAATGCRATGTAACTATGTTATTCTTCCCTTTCTTCTGTGGCTGTTTCATGGCTCTGACACCTGTTTGTCATGAATAAGYAGCCCCTAGACAGAACATGCACCTCTAAAAAGGGTTGGAGGGTTTAACTGGAAGTTGAAACAGTGATACCATTCCTTTCATCTGGAAGAAAGAGTCTTCCAGAACAGAATGGATGGGAACGGAGTCATTTCCCACAGCAACACCACCTGGGGCACCCAAGGACAGAGCAGGACAGACGTCAGATACATTGATTATTTTTCATTGATCTATGAAAAACACGTGTTGACTTCAGACAGCTCTTCCCCAGCAGGGGGGGCAGAACAGATCCTATTTAGAGAAACTGTGAATGGCTGTAGCAGAATTGCTGGTAACTTTAAAAAATGCTTTATATTCTCCGTCAGGTTTGTTCCGAATGTAATTATGCTAATTTAATTTAACATATACTTTGTTCTTCTACTCCTCAGAAGTCTACTCTATTTCTCCTTAGGACTTAATCAGTGCTCACCTCTTCACAGAAGATAGGGTTGAGTCCTTAGACATCTGTATAACTTTACTTTTTCATAACCTTCAGATAAAGGAAAATACAAAACAACTTGTATTAAGAACTTAAATTACATGAATATCTCATTTTGTCTGTAACATCAAATTATTTCTACACTAAAGTAGCTAGTGTTTATATCAAAACAAAAGAATAAGGAATAAATCCTTAATATTTTGGTCCCATCTGCATATTTGACTACACACCCTACATCACAGCCTCAGGCATTTAAAGACTTAAATGTAAAGATTTAAAGAGCTAGATTCTTCTGTCCCATCAAAAACCGCAGTTCTACTTGCTGACTTCTGTATTCATATTTTCTTTGGTGTAGAGAAAAGACCAGCCAATTTTCACATCAGTATTTATTTTTTATTATGCCATTAATTAGTAGGCAATAACACATGTATTGTTTGCAATGCAAGAAACAGTTAATAAACATGAGAAGTATGCAATCTATAATCTAAAATAACTACATTGATGGTCTTGGCACTGGAAGTGTTCTTACATGCTGTTGTTCAACAAGAGAGCACAGTTCCATAACCCTCACCTTCTGCCTTAGAAGTCATGAAGAGCACCTCTGCTTTCATGTGTTCAAACCAAAATAGGGAAAGTGTAAGATTTTACAGTTTTTTGATTGAAATTCAGTAAGTGTAACTAACACTATTAATGTAGGAGTGCCAGATACTCATTTTGCTTATTGGCTTAAGTTTAATGGTAGCAGATCTGACTTGACTAAGCAATATCTAGTCATATCAAGGCTGAATGTGGACTCTCATGTCTAATTTTCATAAAAAACCTCAAAGCTCAATTCCTCTAATGTTTAGTGGCATGTTTTGAACATAAGTCAAACAATGACTTATAACCAATGCTTTTTGATGCAATGCACCATCCCTTTGTGGGACAGCACACAACATCCATTTGTGAGAAGTTTAAGGGCATGTATAGTACTTCTTTGCCTTTTGTTTTAAAACTCTCTTTGGTCAAGTGGAACCTTTTCAGAGTCCATCTTCTCAGGGACATGTGGCATGGCCCAAATTGATGTCTGTGTATTTACCAAAACAACAGAAACACACTTGCACTTTCAACCATGTGTATTTCTGCAGTCCAGTTTATGCTGTAAAAAATGATGCAATAATTAAACTGAGAAAATTAATAGGATTTCCTTTTAATACTTAACCTTTACAAGTGCCAGCTTTGGGAAAATCCAAAGTTAAAGCTTTTTGCCTAGACTAAAGGCACTTAGCTCCATCAATATGTACTTCCAGTCTGGTAGCCCCTGAGCAATTAGTGTTAATATATTGTAAAGGAATTGACTTTTTGACAAGGAAAAGGGCAGCTTTATGACAGCTCACTTAGACCGACATCAAGACTGAAGACAATAACATTTAGCAGAGCTGTCATTGTAAGGCTGGGATGAAGGCAATCCTTTTAACTGGAAATGATCACATAAAATAATCTATTAACTCACACCCAGTAGAGTACATCACAGCAAGATTTGGAGGAAAACCATTTCCCAATAATTAGTTAAATTAAACTTTACAAGATTTGCCAATAATAAACAAATTCTAGCTAAACCAGCAAATGTAGTATTCAAAACAATACTTTCCTCTTTTGCTTTATGCCAAGTCAGCCTATTACTAAAATACACTCATAAAAATAGAGCTTATAGGAACAAATTATAAAATGCGTGTTCTGTGGTTTTCTGACTTCAGTTGGGGGGTGGGGGTGTAAGAAATCTCTTACAATCAAAGACAGAGGAACAATAAAAGTCAAACAACCCTTACAGCTTCTTTCTGAGGTGATCCCACTCTCTTATGACAAAACCAATCACATAAAAGATCAGTGTCCTGGCAAATGCTGCTGTGTATCAGGTGGTTATGTGTGAAAATTTATTTAACTTGAACAAGCTGTATTTACATAAGTGGAAAATACAGTTCTCCAGAATTTCAGTATGGAATTCTTAAAGTTTGTCCAGGAAGTCTCCATCTGTATTCTCTCAGGAATTGTCACTTAGGTACAACAGAGCAGCCAGCAAGAGAGATGCTCTGTTGTACCTCACAGTTACAAACACGAATGGTGAAGGCTGGGTCTTGGCTGGAATGATTAGGAGATGGTAGAGTTCAGGATCTTGAAAAGAGGCAACAAAGCATATGGCAAGATCATAATCACTGCCTTCAGGAAAGCACATTTTGGCACCTTGAAGCATCAGCTTGGAAGAATTCCTTGGGAGATAACCCTGGAGAGAAGGGTCCAGGAGCTGACTGATTTTTAAGAATCACCTTTTCCAAGTTCAACAATCTCCACATACAGAAAATCAAGCGATGGCAGGAGGAACTCCTGGCAAAGCTCAGACATAAAAAGGAAGCACACATGATGTCCTAGAAATGACACGTGAACGAAAAACAGTCTGAGCTGTTGGGATGTGGTTAAGAAAGCCAGAGCCCACTTGGAGTTGAATAAGGCAAGATGTGTGAAGGGCTTCTTAGAGGTATAGCAGCAGCGGAAGGGAAAATGTGGATCTAGTGCTGAGTGGTGGGAGATCCAAGAGCAAAGGACAAGCAGGATCAGGAACGTTTATACAGACTGGACATATACAAGTGTATGGGACACAATGGTACGTGCCTGCAAGGAGCTCTATGTGCTGAAGAAGATGCTGATGGCATTGTAAGGTCATCCTTGGAAATCATTGAACAGTCACAGTGATTGGGAGAGGTTCCAAGGACAGGAAGAAAGGAAATGTAACTCCTTTCTTAAAAAGGTTAACAAAAGGAGATCCAAGGAGCTACAGGCTGGGCAGACCAGACTCATTTCAGACTCTGGAAGACTGAGAAAGTAAATAATTCTAGAAAACACTTACATTAGGAACAAGAATGCGGTTGCAAGTAGTCAGCATGGATTAACAAAGAGGAGATTAGGCCTGCCCAACCTGGCAGCCTTCTACAAAGAGATGACTGGCTTGGTGGACAAGGGGAGAGYGCAGGATACTGTCAATCTTAATTTTAGCAAGGCTTTCAACACTGCCTCCTGTAACACTCTCACTGATAAAGTACAAGTTAGGTAACCAAACAGTGAAACTGAAAATTGGCTGCACTGTCAGGATCAAAGGGCCGTGATCAGCCCAGGATGTACAGCTGGAGGCCCACGAAAGTCCATCTGGAAGCCTATTTCTAGTAAGGCTTCATACTAGGTCCAGCACTATTCAACATCCTGATTAATGATCTGAACAATGGGGCAGAGTGCTCCCTTGACACATTTACAGGTAATCCAACTTGGGAATGGCTGATATCCCACAGGATCATGCTGCCATTTAGAGGGACCTCTACAGACTGAAGACAGAGGCTGACATGAACCTCATGAAGTTCAACAAAGAAAATGCCAAGCCCCACATCTGGAGAGGAAAAACCCCATGCACCAGTACAAGCTTGAGAGCTGAATGGCTGGAAAGCAGTTGCAGAATAGGCGCTACAAAATTCACTGGATTGAGTAATGCATCTTTGCAGCAGTGGAGATCAACAGCCTTCAGGGTGGCATTAACAAGGGCACACACCATCAAAAGAKCAAACAATGTGTTTATTCCTATTAAACACTGATGATGCCACATCTGGAGTGTTGTGTCCATCTCTGACTCCCCTGTACAATAAAGCAATGGGCATACTGGGGCAAGTCTAGCAAATTGCTGAGAAGATGAATAAGGGATTATAGCATTTGTCATATGAGGAGAGGCTGAGAGAGCCAAAATTGTAAGCACACTCACTCTGATCCATGAGCCACTTAATACTATACCACTGTCAGTTTGACATCTAAATCTGATGCATACACCGTTTATTTCTCTATGGTTATACATTGTTCTTTTCCTTCAAAGGGGAATGATATTCAAACATTATATATTCAAAATCAGAAATGGTATTTGTTTCAGGGTTAGAAATTACATATGTGCAATTTCTTATTTTACATTTACCTCTTTTTCTGCATTAGGTCTGAGAAGTTGTTGAAAAGTTTCCTGCAACCTGAAATGACAGAAAGCCTTGTAGAAAGGACACCCCTATTTTACATCCAAGAAATATTGCTTAATAGGTATTAATCTGAAGAAATATATTGTATGATAAAGTTTTTGACAGACTGCCAACCTTCTGAACACCTAGAGAGCATTTAGTTTTTGTCTGATCAGAAGCACCTAATGTCACTGCACATGCTACAATGGAAACTGTAACACAAATGCAAAGTTTTGGCATCTGTGTTGGCTGTACGTATCCTGTAGCATCTGGTGTGGTGTTTGCCACTCTTCTAATTTCTTGCTGCTCATCCCAGAACATAAGAGCTCGTCCACTTGTTTCTAATTCACCTTTCCTTTCTATCTGGAATGCTCCTACAGAACTTTGTACTGAAAAGATTGGAGTCCAGCTGGACATGAATTTTTTTCCTCTAATTGGAAGCACACTAAAGACATCCATTGGGCAAAATATCACTCTCTTCTATCCAGACAGACTTGGCTACTACCCTTACAAAAATGAAGTCACAAGAGAGACATTCAATGGAGGACTCCCTCAACTCTCGCCGCTGGAGAATCACTTAAAAAAAGCCAAAGAGGACATCCAGTTCTACATTCCTTCTGATGAACAGCTTGGATTGGCTGTCATTGACTGGGAACACTGGAGACCTCTGTGGATAAGGAACTGGGGATCAAAAGATATTTACAGACAGGAATCCATTGAGCTAGTTCAGCAAAGAGACCTCAGCCTATCAGAAGCCAAAGCCAGAACTATAGCTAAAATGGAATTTGAATCTGCAGCAAAATCATTTATGTTGGAAACGTTGAAGCTGGGCATAGAAAAGAAACCAAATCGTCTATGGGGATACTACCTTTTTCCAGACTGTTATAACTATGATTACAAACAAAACCCACACAATTATACAGGAACATGTTTAGATATTGAAATAGACAGAAATAATGAGCTTAACTGGTTGTGGGAGAAAAGCACAGCACTTTATCCATCTGTCTATCTAGAGACAGCCTTAAAATCTTCCAGAAATGCTCAACTCTTTGTTCGCAACAGAGTTCAAGAAGCCATTAGAACTTCTTATGTCTCTAATTCTAGTCATCCCCTTCCAGTTTTTGTATATACACGTCCAGTATTCACAGATGTCCATGAGGAATATCTCTCTGAGGTGAGTGAAGCTAGACCTTAAATACTTCCAATTTATATGGCAAGAAATTTTACCAAGTGACACTTATTTAGCAAGTATACTAACTTGCATCTGGAAAAGAGTGTGCAATTTTGTATAAAAAATTGAACTAATCCATCAAAGAAATTCGATCAAATAGAACACTAAGACATCTATTTTCAAACCTTGCTCATTATATTTATCAAATAGTGTTTTATTCCCTCAATTGTCCTTACATGTAATGAAATATCACAAAGCTAGAAAACATATTTAGCACACTTAGGTAGAGGAAAGAAATATGAGTAAAGTTTCCCAAAGAGAATTATTAATACTGGGCTTACCTAATGACTATTTTTTAGGTTATAAGAAAAAAAAATACACTAAACAAGTCTTTCTTAAAAGGTGTTTAAAGCTAATGAGAAAGTTCTGTCCTTAGCTGCACTCGAATAGCTTTTTAAATGGTAGGCCAGCATGTCATGGGTTAGTTAAGATTAGGCTCCGATTAAAATCCAGTAATCTCATTGCTGTTCTGGCTTTTCTCTTCATATTTTTATAGACAACCACCTATCAGAGATACCACCAGTCTGGGGAATCTCTTCTTGGTGTTCCAGCCCAGGAGGAAAGGGAAGATAGAGGCTGTGGTGCTAGTGATGGCATTGTATCTCATGTCCTCCCACATTTTGGATAGAGCATAAGCAAGTGTCCTCAGCTCTGTGGATACTTTCAGGGAGCAAGGGGTACTCTGAGGGGCCTCACTCAGGTCCGAATTAATAATTCAAATCATTTAAGGTTTACATTAATACTATTTTTTGTGTTGTGCCCCACAGTAAGTTGCTTTTTCGCTGTTTCTTTTCATTATCATAGTCCTCTTCCATCTCATAGAGGCCTTAACATTTTGCTAGGACTGGACTAATAGCTGACCTTAAAAGGAGAACCGAACAGAAACAAATTTCCCAAATCAATCTCTGTAAAAGACCAGAGACATTCTCTGGAAAAGAAAGATTCCTACTCTTGAAAGTTCTTTCTCTGGTTACTTTTCTGTTTTAGCGCCTTCTGGTAGCAGGAATTAAGGTTAAAAAAAAAAAAAAAAAGCTAGAGTTTCCAGGATCTTTATCACACAGCACCACTGAAACCAGTTGCTACCAGCTCTGAGCAGCCAGAAGGCAACGCAATAAAATAAACCTTAACACAGTTGGAAGAATGTATGCCATGTGCCTAACCACTGGCTGAGTTTTACAGCCTTGTTTTTCTACCCAGATGACATGTATAAATTGGATATTGCTGGCAACATTTTCTGGCGTTACCTGTGCAACTTAGTTCCAGGATAAAATTGTGCAGTTGAGAGCAGGACATTTGCATTGTGTATCATTGCTTGCTGTCTTCAAAGTAGTTATTTTGCATATGTCATTTACAATATGCATTTTATTATTTGCCCTTATGTTATAGGTTACTTACATTTGTATGATTCTTTGCACATTTTGCCTCAGGATGACCTGGTAAATACCATTGGAGAATCTGCTGCGCTGGGTGCTTCTGGAATTGTGATCTGGGGTGATCTGAATTTAACACAAAATAAGGTATGCCAGATCAATTATTACGTGACATTTTTCAGGAGAATTAAAGTGAAAAGGATGTAAAGCATTATGATCAGTTACATAATATCTTCTACTTTAAAAATGATGACTCCATAATGGCAGCAGATTTTTGTAGTCAAAACCCAAGCACATCTGAGGCCAACATTAAGGTCATCACACAGAACAAGAGTCCAGTCTTTCAAAGTATCAGTACCAGTAGCTCTGTGTAACTGGACAAACTACTATGATAATTTAGGCAAATCAGCACTTCTTTAATTAATATAAGAAAGAATTCCTGTATCTTCATTTCATTCCAGTCATGAGGTAAATAAAATACTACTTGAGCTTGCCCAGAACAATTTTTAAAAGGCTCTTCTGCTTTTTGAACTGTTGCATTTGGAAATAATATTTCAAGCACTAGGAGGAGCCAATCTGTAAAAGTTCAGCCCTTGCCTGTTCTGTGTATTGTAGGTACTACTTTTATTAATTTCCTTGTATTAAAGAGCTGAGTCAGAAGAGGAAAAAACTCTAGTTTGTTTAAGGAAGGGGAAATACATAGTTTGAGAAACATTTTTACAAGGATGTTCTCATAATTCTTTCCAGGTAGCTCATTCTTAATCAGGTATGTTAGATATGACAAACTATTGTATGGGAAGACTCTTGTGAAGTCTTCTGAGTTCAAAGAACTGAAACGCTTCATCCCTACCAGACCTGTCACAGAAAGCATGCCCAAATAAACCTGCATAAGTCTGTATGCATCCCACCTTGACGTTTTTCAATGTGCCTGCCTTTGAGAAAGGGTATCAGTTGCACATAGAATATTTTTTGCCCATGATCTCAACATCAGAACACATATGACCAGCAAGTTTTATTGTTTGAATTTTGAGATTCCTTGTGAGAGAAAAAGACCTCTCCACAGCCCAGTCAGACTATGTATTTGTGCACTAATTGTACCTGATTTTTTTACAGCTGTCACAGTCACTAGCCTTTCAGCAATGAAACATTACTGTAAGACTGACTTCTGGACCAACCAAAATTTCTTGGATGTATTTTTATATATAACTAAAAGAAAACCAAAAAACATATGTATATGTTGGATTCACCAAAGTGATCTCCATGGGTATAAATATTAGGTGTATCTATGTGTGGTATTGGGCAAATGTCCACAGTGCCAGAAACAGAGTTCCCAAACTATCTGATTGTTAAACAGTTCCAAGAATGCACAGCATATATGCTAATTTCATGATCAATTAGAATGACCAATTTTCGCAGCACACCTTCAATTTGACCATCCGACCACAATTCTTTTCATTCAAAAATGCCATAAAAGTTTCCTACCCTGTAGTCAAGCTATTCAGGTCAGGGAAAAACTGGAAATTTTCGCAGAGATGACTTGACAGAAAAAAGTATTTGTTTAGGCTGAAGAAGTAAGGTTTTTTCCCAAGATCTCATCAAACTATATAAGACTTAAAAAGGAACTTCAATCCTTCATGAAACTTCTTTTACATGCATCTGATTCAAAAAGTTACATGAAATATAGATACAAAATGCAAGCTAAAAAACAACTGCTTTCTGATCTAAGTGCTTTTTCTAACATCTCCAGCAACTACACAACATAAATTTGCTGTGATCCTTGAATTTTGTAACTTCTCAGAAAAACTTGCTTCCAACAAGGAGTTATAGCTATTATCAAATCCTCAGGGGAAATATTTATAGATATACACTGTGGTACTGTTACTAGAATGACAGCATTTTAATGGTTTCCATACTAAACTGTGGAGGTATAATGCTCTTTTCACAGAACACCTGTAGAACTCTGGACAACTACCTTAGGAGAACTTTGACTCCATACCTCATCAACGTCACAATGGCAGCCAAAATATGTAGCCAAGTGCTATGCAAAGACTCTGGAGCTTGTGCACGGAAAAAATGGAATTCCAGTGACTATCTTCACTTGAACCCTGAGAATATTGCAATTCAAATGACAAAGGATGGAAAATACACTTTACAAGGGCAACCATCGTACCAGGATCTGCAAACATTCATAGAAAAATTTGATTGCTATTGTTATGCAGGGGACAGATGTGAACCTAGAACTGATATAAATGACATTCATTATCTCCATACTTGCATTTCAGAAGATATTTGCATTCAGATATCCTTAAATTCACTTTTTAACATGGAAGCCTCTGAAGAAAAGATCCTGTCTAACAGAACTGCATTTTCATTTACCTCTGAGAGTAAGGTGACATTATCTACACATCCTGAAATAGATTTCCAATCTACCTCTGGAAATAATATACTTAATATAACAACTGCAGAATACAACACTTTTACAGCTGCCAGTAGCTGTGATTTAGAAGAAAATGATACTCGTACTTTCAGCAGCTCTTCATCCTATAAGATAGGGATGTTTGATCTGCTTCACTTAATTCTRCTTTTGAGAACTTTAATATAAATGGCCCATGAAAGTGAGAATATTCTTTTCCCTGGATATATTTGAAATTCTAATGCTTTTATTTACTAAACAAACAAAATAATTCCTGAAAGGTTTATAATCTTATCTGTATCAGGTAACCTTTTCTAATCCATAGATGACACTTCATCTTGAATCTATTTCTTCAATTAAGTTCTATAAACCACTATATGTGCCAAAGATATATTGGTCTATATATACTGACTATACCATATGAGAGGATAAGCCAGAATTACATTTTTACCAACAGTTTACATTTTTAACTATTTTGGAAAAAAAATGTTGGCAATGCTGTCTTATGTACTTCAAGTTAAGACACTTAAATATATCATATAAAAAAAAAAGTTATCAGGTTTGATGCTCTGTGCAAGAATTCATTTCATTGCACATCAATGGAATAAGCTCTTACAAATATTTGGTTTAACTTTAGATCTGTGAGGCTTTGCAGCATAAAACTTATCTGATTAATGTAATGTTCCTCCACTTTTAAAAATCCTGCAGGTTTTCTTTTAATTGAATATATTTGTAACTCTTCAAAAGATTCTAACTTCAGTGTGAATATTCACTTTGAACATTACAGCTTCATTAGTTAAAATTTGAGCTGCAGCAGTTTATCCTTGCTTCTCACAAACCTCCCTTATGTCAGATGTCCCTTTCTTGGTTTCCAGTTGTTTTGTCTTGTCAATACTCCCAACTCATCTGCTCTCCCTGTGCATTCTCCACCAGCACTGGTTTCCAGTCCTAGTTTCTTCATCCAGCCATCCCTAGGAACTGGATAGGGCTGTATGTGCCATTTGGACAAAAGTCTGAGTGTGGGACTTTATGCCTCATTATTTCCTGAGGAGTCTCCTTGGTGGAAATCAGTTTGCTCCTCAGGAAAACCCAGCACTGGAGGTAGAAAGATAAGTGTCACTGGGGACCTGAGACTCCCTTTATTCACTTCGCATGGTCCCCAATCTCAGGACCACCTTTTTGATTCAGTCTGCTGGCATAATTGAAAGTATTTGCTTAACAATATTCCATTGCCAAAAGCAGTATGAAAGTAGCAGAAATACCTCAAAAGAAAACTACTCTCAGTATCATACCAGGAGTCTAGTTATGATTAACATATAGTCAGTTTAAGCATTAAGAAGCAATTTACTGCAGTTTATTTGATAAAATAACCTTTTCAAACTATTATGTCAAACGCTTAATAGACAGTTGGCCTTCTGATGGGTGAAGAGTGGCTGCTGGCATGGATACATTAAAAATCTCCCTAGAGCTATGTATCATCTGCATAAATAATTCACCACCTCCCACAGATACAGCCTGCCTCACTAATGAAAATAACCAGGAGTTCAATACAGTGGCCATTTACTTATAAAAAGTTAATTCCTTAATTTAGCAGAAAACACATATTACATCCATTCTCTTTGAATTTTCAGGTTATTGGTCATAACAGAGATGCAGAAAAATAGACGAAGCCTTTAGACTTAACATGGAGAAATAGTGTTTTATGGCTTTTGGACAGCAAGCTATCAAGAAGAAGTGACAATTTTCTCATTCCAGTTACAGTGATAAGTCCACTTATCACTGAATCAAAGCTTGAAAAAATCACTTGAATCAAAGCTTTTTCTGCCATTAATGTTCCAAGTGGAATCATGAATAAAAAAATATATGTGTAGCAGATGATTCAGGACAAAAGAACCCATCTGGTTTCAATCCTCTTTGTAAAATCATGCTTTTTTCAGAGAAGTTTTGATACTGGTGATTTCATCTTGGGTAAAGAAAAGGCATAGTTTCTAACTCCTGTGGCTGAACTCCCTTTACACGGCATTTGTGGTAACTATCAAAGGATTTCTAAAAACTGGAATCATTACTGGTAATGCCTTCACAAAACTTGTATAACTTACATGAAATTCTATTTTTTTTCACAACGCTTTAACATGGCTAAACTGACAGATACTGGATCTGTAGCACTTTGTGGCAAGACAGCTCGCTGGTTCACAAAATCCACAAGTGTTGCCATGAGTACTTTTGACTATCAGCTGGGTAATAGCGAGCAGAATGTTTGTGATGGTTCAAGCCGGAAAATACCAGAAAAGACGGAATGAGAAGTTAAAATCACGGAAGAGTGAAACAGAGCACCCAGGACCTCCCCAATGCATGCAGARGAAGTGAACTGCAGAAGCGAAAGAGTGAAGCAGTGGGGAATGTGGACAGACCAGTCTCTTCCCATTCAACAGTTTTTATCTACCTGGTACTTAATTTGACAACCATTCCCCAAGGCTCACTGTACAGAGAAAGGAACACACTAACTGATATGTTAGACGTATTCATCTGATCCCACCTCTTTTTTTTCTTGAAATCAGCCAGGACCAGAAAAGTAAAAGGAAGATGAGCAGAAAGCAATCTATTGCAATAAACTGTGCTTTCCTAAGCTGCATGTGTAAGCAGCTATCTACCTTTTGCTCTGATGCACCATGCTTTGCCAACCACCTTTCAAATGTCCATTCAGGATTATTAATTTTACCAATGTGTATCTGCAATTAATGATTTAAATCCTACAAAATTCATGATTTAAGTCTGCTATGTATTAAATGACAGTATTTTCAAATGTATAATTTTGCTCTGTAGTATATCTGTTTTACCTATGTTCTATGATAGAGTCACCATGGAGTCAATGAGTTTCCATGGAGTAAAAGGAAAAAAGAAGGAAAGGGGTGCTATGCCTTGCATTGCTGGTGACTATCTCATATTCAAAGCCAAACTTACATTCTTCTAAAGTGGACCCCCTTCCAAAGAGATTTTCTTACATTCTTGGAATTTCCTGTAATCATTAGCTGGCCTTATAGCTTTCATTTCTTGCATTCTTGTATTTTTTAAAAGATTAAATACTAGAGGAACAGTTCACTTTGATTGCCATTCATTACTTTGTATTTCTCCTTTCTACAGAGAACTCAGGCTGGCAATATTTAGGAACAGAGAAATGCTAAAGTGGGTTTGTGAAAGGGTCTGTTTAAGTGAAAATTGTTTAATACCCTCCTTCAATGTTTTGACATTTTGCTATAATTTTAACTGAAATTCTGTTTCACTGAATAATCTGGATCTAGTTAATTGTATTGCTTACTCTGGGACATACAGAGATATTGCTACTTCAAAGAGAGATGGCAACTGGCACTTAAAGAATCTGAACAGACTAGACTATGTTTTCATACATAGTCTAGTCCTCACCTTACAGTGAGGATAGATACATACAGCAGTTTTTTTGCTTTTCTGTGTTAAAAGTAACAACACAGAGAGATATTTTGAGAGGCCAGCAAGATCACTGTGTAGACAGCCTAGAATGTGACTAACATCCCAAAGAGTTCAGCAAAATTTGCTTTATTCCCTTTATTACACAGGGACACCCTGTTGTATATATCAGCCAAGAATTGTACAGAAGATTTCAGACCTGTGCAATATGTACTAGACAACTTCCAGGCAGATTAGATTTCTACATGCACCTATCCATCACTTTTCAATACAAACAACAAGACAGTAGAGACAGTTACATAATTTTAAAACACATTCTGTTATGGAGCACTGATGGCCTTTTTAAGTTGACAACTAAATTCCATCCTTTAAGCATACACACCTAAAACTCACTTGAAAGTTTTTTTCACACTATGCTTGTGCCAGCTCTTTTGCTCTGGCAAACAGCCATTCTGTCTAAGCCAAACAGCCTGCAAAATCAGGGCACCAGACTTCAAGTTGGAGCAATGAGTTTCATTCCAAAAAGATAACATTGATTAAAAAAAATAAATTATTGTGTGTCTTAAAAAAAGTAATGCTTTATTTATGATCTATTTAGGATAATGACTTCACTTTTCCTAAAGACTTTTTTTTGTTGCTCTTTCTTGGCGTTTTTTCTCCTGTGCTACTGAAAACCATTGTATAGGCGGCTGGAAACAGATTCAAAAAGCTAACTAGTCTAACTTTGTCCCTTACCCCTTTCAAATTGTTCCCAGTGTGTGGCTATACCAGACTTTCCTGTCTGTTTTTCTGGAAATACTTTTTAATTGAAAATTAACCCCGCATCACAACATTTTTCATTATGATGACCATGTAAACATGCTGTATTTAAGACTAATTCTAAGCTTTTTGTGTATACCAGTCAAGGATCAGGATCTTTACAGAATATTCTTTCACATAGCTGTTCTGAACCTCTTGCAGCTACTCTTCTTTTCACTGTCACGACCGCTCAGGACTGCAAATGCTTCCCACATTTGTTGTCCCCTTGTTATATACAAGAAGTAAAGGACAAGAAGGTAAAGGGCACCTATCAATATTAGCATCCTTAAGGGAATAACCTAGGATTTAACTATGTTCACTAATGTGTTACCACCATCATGCAATATTGATTATAGTTCTCCTTGGCCAGTAGTAATTAGATGATATTTTTCAGTGTATGCTTGTATAAGCCTTGGTTTATAACTGATAAGGTATTTTATTGATTAGTAATCAGACACAGGCAGTATGAAAATGAATGTGGATCATTACTTCATATATTTAACCAACATTTTGGCTCTGTACATACAATTCCAGAGAGTTGTGTTCAGCACCATACATATGTGGACTCTAGACAACATGCAGTCACCTGTCTTTGCCTTTGTTTTCATATCAGGAAATATATTTATTCAACAGAACTTCAAGATCCTGCACAAGAAATATACCATATGTTGGCAGTCTCATGGAGCACACTGCTCCGTCAAGCTAGGTTGAGACTAGCAGGTTGAGACAAGATGACAGCTTGCCTGCGTCAAGTGATGATTTCCTGAGGCAGGGACAAAACAACTACTTGTTTTAAGGGAGGCGTAGAATACTCTTCAGTCCCAGAATGATAATATGGTTAATGTCACAACAAAGTACAAAGTATTTTACTGCTGGGATAGCCAGTAATTAAGAGCACTGGAATAATAACAGACTTAGCCTATCTGTAAATACTAGGCACTTGGTATATACTTGCAGATACCAAGTTTAAGTATCCAAATGAGTTAAAAACCTTAATCTGCCACTGTAACAGTCCTTATATAAATCCTTCTTCACCCTTTCCCTCACCAGAGCATGACAAAAATTTAAGGTACATACTAGAGCCTCTAGGGCTGCAGCCAGCAGAGGGCACAGACGACACATGCAGAGACTGGCAGGTACCTTATAAGGCTTTCACTGAAAAAAGTTCAACACAGTCTTTCCGTTCCCTTCAGCAACACAGCTGCTTGACTCCTACCTACAAACCGAAAAGATGACTAGTCCCTCCCTAATGGAGTGCCTCATTAGCAGAAAAAATGCATGTCTTATTCTACAGGTTTTTTTTTTTTTTTTCCCCCAAATATCTGGTTATATCAGAACAAACCTGAATATACCAGTGAGACATTACCTCTTCTCATGCTCTCTTCTCGGAGATTTCATTCAGCTGAAGGCTTCTTCCCCTTAAGATCTAACCCAGGGAAGTGGTTGAGTCACCAACCCTGGAAGTGTTCAAGAAACAACTAAATGTGGCACTTAGTGCTGTGGTCTAGTTTACAAGGTGGCTATTGGTCAAAGGCTGGACTCGATGATTCTTGGATGTCTTTTCCAATGATTCTGCAGCTGGGCACTGCATGGTGCCATAACACTGCTAAACTGGTCCTGCAGTGTGTCAAACTCAATGGAAAAGACAGAAAAGTAAAATACTTTATCAGTGGTTAAATATTTCCCAAAAAGATTAAGTGGCTTGTCTGTCTACAGTCACACAAGATAACAGATGGCTTCAAGCCAGAAAAACAAATGTCCTCTGAGCTGCTAATTGTTCCAAGGCAGCAATATGTTTGCATACAATATTCTATTACCAAACACTCTGTATAATGAAGAATGCCTTCTATAATCATACAGTTTTGAAAAAGATATGACAGATTTTAGAACAATATAACAGAACTTGGAACTTGGAAAAACACTCAAGACACTATAAGTCTTCAGTCATTGTACAACTGAATCAATGTTTTATACTCTATCTGTGCATCTTCTGCCAACCTTTTATAAGAATATACCCGAAATGTATTTTTTCAGACTATTACTATATCTACAATATATTGTTAATTAAACTTCCATCACTATGATACTCAAGCACTACTGAAAAATTTAATATTTCTTGCAAAAATAGAGACTGCTCAGTTTTATGTGAGTTGTCCTCCATGCAATAATCAGAATCACTTCATTCCAGAAATCACTCTCACAAATGGACTGTTTTTATTTTGCACATCACCAGCTGAGTGATATATGGAGATGGGGAAATTCTTAAATTATCAGTTTTAAGGCACCCAGAAACTTCAATGTGAACTTTTCCACCCATTTCCCCAGTTAGGTGTAATGTAAATTGTAAATGGTAAATCTGTGACTGCTGTGAGGATGCACCTATGTGTCGAGCTATGCACCTATGTCTGGTTGCTATTCAGAGACAAGTAAACAACCAGAGTTCTGCTACACTCCCCCTCCATGCGGGGTCTGAGCCGGTTCCTTTCACTGCTACCAATTTTCATGAAACTTCAAGCGTTATATCATGATTTGAAACTTCCGAAGACACTGTCACTGCCTCAATTTTAAGAGTGGCATTCAAAATTCTGACTCTACCCGAACTACCAATGCTAGGGATTAGCATTAGGAAAAATTGACTACCTGTAGCCAGAATGAAACCTTATGCTACCAGGAAAAAAAAAAAAAGAAGGCTTCTTTTGTTTGTTTGAGACTTGCCACTAAATATAAGCTCCGGAGGAAAGCAATCAGATTTAAGAGAAGAAAGAAAAAATAATTCCCAAACATTACCATTAGGTGGCAGGGCCAGCTCCAGCATCCAATTTCCTTTTGGAATATGCAGTTCAATTTAAGAGTAGTAACTCAGTACTTTTAGAATTACACTACGAGTAGATTTGACTGTATCTAAAACCAGGACATAAAAAACCATTAAGTTTTTCACCTCTGCAGCTAGCCCACAACCAACTGCTCTTGAGAGCAAAGTCTCAAGAGCTTCCATATCTTGTGGTCCAACTGATGTAACCAGTGAAGTTTTGTTACAAACTGCATTCTCTAAATTGCTGAATTATGTCTCTAAAAAGACCAAGAAAATCAAATTTCAAAAGGCTTTGATGAATGTGCTATGTATCAACAGCAGAGGTATCCACATGAAATGTGTACGGGTCTTGTTTATACCTGCATGAATATCCTGTATCAACCAATACCACCAGCACCTGTAACCTTTCCAGAACATCAGATTTCAGTAACAAGTTCTGGGACTGGCAAATGGATCCAGGAGAAGTGTTAGCTCTGTGTTCATGGGTAAAACAACCCTTTCTCTAATGCTCTGTGGCAAGACTGTATTCTGAACATCATTTATCCAGTGCAGGCAGAAGATTCTTGGTGAAGTAGCATGTCCCGTCATTGACCACAACACAAAGCGACCATCACAAGCATCCCTGGAGGCGAGGAATCATACCAAGGGTGATTTTCCAAAAATTGTCACAGCAGAAATGAAATAAAACCATGGCAATCCCTGGATCTGAACGTCTGTCACTACACAATGAACAATTCAAGCAGTTTCATGGGAACAGTGGCGGTCGTAGCCGCAGGGGTATGAGCGCTGCCATCACTAGACATGAGGAGTCTACAAAACCGATCCTGTGAAGCAGCACAAGCCCATCAGCTCTCGTCAGCCAGTGCTGCCAGCGCGGCCTCGGGCCCCCTTGCTGGGTGTGGGATGCTGTACAGCCCGCCCACGGCAGCAGGTCTGCGCCAGGCCGTCCCATCCTGCCACACCCCAGGGACCAGACGGTTCCCCCAGGATCCCCGCGGGGTCCGGAGCCGCCCTGCCGCTCCCTGGGGCTCGCCGTGCCTCTCTGCGCCGCCTCGGCCCCTCAGGACCGTGGGATTGCCCGCGGCCCCGCTCGTCACGCCAACCCCGCGGCTGCAGGGCGGCCCGCCCCCGGCCAGCGCCGGCCCCTCCCGGGGCGCTGCCGCCGCTCCCGCCCGGCCCGGCCCGGCCCCCGCCCCTTCTGCAGCGAGCGGCGGCGGGAGAAGGGCGGCGGCGCCGTCACGTGAGGCCCTGCCCGCTCCGCTCCCCGCACAGCCCCGCCGCCGCCAGCGCCAGCCCCGGCCCGAGCCCCGCCGCCGCCTCGCCTCGCCTCTCCTCGCCTTCCCCGGCGCTCCCATGCCCAGCAGCGAAGCGGTGCCGCTGGGGCTGGGCGCCTGCCGCAGGTCGGGGGCGCTGGGCGGGATGCTGTCGCTGGTGGCGCGGCTGCTGGAGTGGCTGCGCTCGCTGTTCTGGAAGGAGGAGATGGAGCTCACGCTGGTGGGGCTGCAGTACTCGGGCAAGACCACGCTGCTCACCGTGCTGGCGGTACGCGGCCCCCCGGCCCGGGGCGGGGCAGGGCGGTGCGGTGCGGGGCCCGCCGGCGGGGCAGGGCTGCGGGTGGGGCGGGCGCGGCCGCCGGGCGGGGATGCAGGGGCCGCCCGTCCGCCCGGGCCGCCGCCCCGCGTCCTTCCCCCGGCAACAAGTGCGGGCTTCGCTGCTGCGGTGGAGCCGCCGCCTGCCGTGAAGTCCCGCGGCGATGAGCTGGGGTGCGGTGGGATGCGGTGGGAGGGAGGAAGGGGGTGCGGGCGGGAGACAGTATGAGGCAGCCTTTGCATCGTTTGCAACCTCAAGAATTGCACAGCAGCAGGGCCAGTGTGTGTGTGAAAGTGTTTCCAGAGGGAGAAAGAAGATGTTTCCTGGGTCTGGCTGCAAAATGTGCCCATGTTGGAGCAGGCTCATGGGCATAGCGCCTTGCTGTGATTCAGAGTTGGCTTTTTGCAGCCAGTGTATCCCAAAATAATATATTGTGCATCCCCCAAGGCCGCAACTTGCCCATTGCTGAATTCTCTCCTCCCATCAGTTGCATCAGTACTAATGCCTCCCACAATTCCTCCATAGCTCTTTCCCAGCATTCAAGTCTGATTCCAGCAGTCCGTTTTCCCTCTGGTGATGGCCTTGCAGCCTCTCTGTTGCTGACACCTATCATGACACTTTCTCTTTTGTCACCATGCTGAAATACATTTCTCATCTTTGTTTTCTGTGCCCTCCAACCTGCATTTGGGTCCATACCAAAGATTTGTTTTCCATCAGAAGATGGAAATAAATAAATAAATAGATATATTTGCTTACTACTAATTATGAAGCTTATTGTGTATCGTTTTCTGCAAGGTGGTATCACTTGTGATGTGTATTGCAGCTTCAGCTGCTACGAGATAGAAATTTTCAGATGTTCTTCAGTCCTTACCGTGAAAAGCTGATCATAAATCAAAACCAGACTGGGAGGTGTGCTGCCTAAAGTCAGAGAGATTTCAGCATATGGTATTTGTTTCTTGCTTTTGTATATGATTGTGGATTAAGAGAAAAATAGGAGATTATGCATTAGAGTGAATGAAGAAGAGGAGAGAGGGCAGGAGAAAAATGAATGGGGTAGTACAATTGCCCGGGGAAAGTATGTTCTGGGTAACATCAGCAATCAGTAAACAGAATATACCCGTAGCTGGTATTTTAGTTGGTTTGTTAGGCACGCAGATGGTCTTGGTAAGACAGGCCTTGGTGCTTCTTATGCCCATTGGAAGTGTTCATTTCCCAAGGATGGGGCTTTGGGAAGGGGAAAAGGCATGACAAATTACATTGCTTCTTGGATTGTTACCATGAACAGACTAAGAAGACATAATGTTTCAGAGGCCTTAGTAGTGTGTGGTGTCAGACTTGATGTGTGAATGGGTGTCCACTCCCTTGTACTGTACTATCCATGGAGTGGCATGATAGGTGTTTGTTTCTCTATGTTAGTACTTGAACACCAGAGCAGTCCTGTAACCATGGGTCTGATTTCCCCAGCCACTGTTACATCTTAAGAGTATTCTACAAGGCATTCATGTTTTGTGACTTAGGGAGGTTTTGTAGCTTTTGGGTCCCTCAGTCATGATACTCATCAAAGAAAAGTGGTTGGAGAATTTTGAAAAAAAAAAATAGGATAAGGCAATTAATAATAATTTACTCTTGAATACCATTGATATGGGAAGGGCAAACAGATTGGGAACTCTATGTTTGTGAATATGTGGCTAGAGTGTGACAAGATGAAAATAACTGTTGCAAAATACTGGCTACTTAAATGCAAGCTGCAGTGGATCAAGAAAAAACATTATTGAAAATTACTATTTTTTCACTTTGCAAGAGCATTCATATGCTAAGATTGAATAAACACTCTCTGAGATAATCTCTGCTCTCAAGAGTTTGAGCCATATTTAGTCCTTTGTTACCTGTTACTGGGAATGTGCATTGATATAATGGAATAGAATCTGGTCCACAGTTCTTGCTAGGGAGGTAATGACAGTGTTCATTATCAGTTCAATATTCAGAAACTTTCAGAGGACATTACAAAATTCTTCAGAATCAGTTATTTTTCATGTATGTTGGCATGTGATCTACTTTTTTTTCTGAAATATAACAATAAACTTTTTTGCACTGCCTAAATATTCACAAAAATAGTCAAGACTTCCTTAGCAAGCACTATAGTACAGACTTTTTACTTTATTGTAGTTGGGTGGTTACAGCACGTGAAGCAAAACACAGTAATCAGAGCTCTTGGACTGATGTGGGCAAAAAAGTCAGCCTATTGCTTTCTTTTCTTCACTGTGTGGGGGAAAAAAGAACTGTAGACATAATACTTTGTTTGTATCTGGTTCCATTCAATCAGAATGGGAAATTTGTAGAGGAAAAGACTGAAGACCAGTGAAGGGGATGCTAATTCTTTACATTCTGTTCACAATACCAGAGCAGTTATGGTGGTTTGGTTTTTAATTTATTTTCTTCTTCCACTTTAGCATATTACATATGAAGTATGATTTGCTGACAGCAGTGGAATCCTGGCTTTCTATAGCCTTCTGAGTCAGCTCTCTTGTTTTCCAGGCATTCCTGCCCTTGAGTAATGATTCTACATTTTCAGAGTTCATGTGTTCATGTGTGTTTATATGCTAGTCCTCCACAAGCATATGTGCTATTTAACAAAGTTGTAGAATCATTAAGGTTGGAAAAGACCTCCAAGATCATAAATCCTAACATTTGACAGAACACCACCCTGTCAGCTAAACCATATCTTTGTGCCATATCCAGTCAGTTCTTGAACTCTTGACATCCCAGTCACCAGGGATGGTGACTCCACTGTTTTCCTGGGCAGACCAGTACCCAATACACAAGAGAGTTACTGGTTGGCTTTGTCTTACGTTATCCAGTTAAATTCTGTGAGTGCTGAGTATGTGTATCTGCATGAAACTGCAGGTGCTTTTGTCTTCACTTTTTTCCATACTGCTGTTGACAAGTTACTGAAGCAGGGAAGAAGAGGAAAAAAAAGAGACAAAAGATGGTGAAGATATATAGTATATATATAGTGGCAGTATATAGTATAGTTATATACTGTAGGTATGTGTATATATATATATATATATATATATATATATATATACACTGTAAATATACATATATAGAGACAGATATAGAATTTAGGAAGAAGATTCCCCTAAATAAGTTTGAACAATAATTGATGGAAGTTCTTTCTTGACTGAAGGATCTAATTCCAAACTCTGAAATCTTGTGAGACAATCCAGTAGCTGTGAACAGTTATACACTTTTAAAGCAACAGATTAAAAATTATTGACCTTAGATTGAAAAGGCAAACCAAAGCCAGAGTGTATTCTCACTCCACTGCAAATAGGGAAAAGTTTCAAAAATTGTAGAGATCCCAGGAACAGCCCTCGAGGGGTAGACTGAGAGACACTTTGCTGTTCTAGTGTGCCCTGAAGGTCTAATACTCCATTTCTCAGATGAGAGAGAACTGATGGAGTTCATGTCTGCATCCTGCCTTGTCCATATACCTGTTTTTTCTTCCAAAAAAACCCCAGGGCACATGGGCTGAGGAGATGAATATGGGCAGAATAGATATGGAAGGGTAGCGGCCGGTCTGTAAGCTCCTGCTTTCCTGGCTGGATGACTGGAAAACCAGGATTGTGTGTATTGCAGAGAGCACCTGGGCCTCTGTGTGGACATAAGTAACTAACTCTGCCCATCTTATTGTACCGTGTCCAGGAGACACAATAGCTTGTTAATTGCTGTTGATAGCAAATAGCTTGATACATTTTCAAAAGGAAGAATGAATGAGTTACCTACTTTGATCTGAGTTTTGTCTTGATCCTCAAAAGCTCTCTTCTGTAGTGGGTAGAAGTCTGTAAGATTCCCATTGGCATGATGAGAAGTGTCTCCAGTGTGAAAATATTGCTCTGAGCTGGGGGAGGAGGCAGCATTGGTTTTATGTATTTGGTTTTATGTTATGGGACACTGAATTAGTGCCTTGTATTTTCTGTCTTAATGGCATTCTCATAGCTCTGCAGCAGGATTCCTCTGCTGTCACCTACACAGAAGAAACAGGACTGCATATGGTACTCTCTACATGAGTAGTCCTTCACTGCTTTTATGTTTGAAGTTAAACCCTTGGTAACAGCAGTGAGAGACTACAGGAAGAAATCACGGTGTAGTCAGTTTTATAATATCTGATCATATTGAGGGTAAGACTAGGTGACCTTTGAAAGTTTCTTTCAACTCAAGTCATTCTACAGTTTGGTATTTTGGCTATACTGCCAAATGATCAGATGAAGAATTATCTGAAGTCTCGTGGTTTCTGGGATGATCTTTGTTGCTGAAGAGAATAAAAGATCATTTAAGGGGACTGAAATGAACAGTCTTCTATGATGTGACAATGCAGTAATTGAAGTGCTGGCCAGTGCTCTTGCTGAAAATTAATGTGGTATGTTACGGTATTGTAAAATAAAATTTTTAGATTGCAAATGAGAACCTTTCTTGTATGTATCAACTGTTTTATAATAAATATAATTTTTGTTTTATATTCTAGTCGGGGCAGTTCACAGAAGATATGATTCCTACAGTAGGCTTCAATATGAGGAAAATAACAAAAGGAAATGTTACCATAAAGGTAGGTGTGCATGTTTGAATGAATACTGAGTGACTGAATAATAGAGTAATTTCAACTAGAAATACGAAAGACAGGAAATTTCCTTTAAGATTATAGGATCCATTATCTGTCTTCCTGGCTCCAGATAACTTTTTTTAAAGCATATAGTCACATTAATCTGTTTGATTTCATTATATTCCATGCCAGGCAGAAGCTTTGTTGCACTTTTTTGATTTAGAAAGGTCATAAAATGTGGAGATATTGAGGTAGCTGAGTTGACTCCTGGGGATATATCTATCTTCTTTTTTCTCTCCACCTCCCCACCTCCTCCCAAATGTAAGTGAAATCTGGAGCCACTTGACTCCTAACTTAGGCATCTCAATGGAGAGTGTGCTTTAGCTCACATGTCATCTATGCTGGAGTAGAACATCTAGCTTAAGTCAGTTATCAGGGAACCATCTCTTAAAGCTATAGAGACACATAGTCAACAAAATAGATATAAATCACTCCAGTAACATTGAGGCTCTGTCTGTTGTTTGATTATGGAGGGAGCCTGGTTGATTTGTCTAGATCAAATTCACAACTTTCAGCTAAAATTTGGTAAAGGGAGTCTAGATTTTTGACTTTACCTTGACTTTTCCCTCCTTTTCCATAAAATGTAAGTTCTTTTCTGCCTCAGTTCTACAGATACTCTTCCTCTTGTTTGGTATGACTCCTAAACCRCTGATCAAAGTCCAGAGATGCCACAGTCAATAAAAAAATTGCCACATTCAACCATAGTTCATAAATAATCCACAGGAATAGGTATTTCCTTTCAGTTCCTTTATTTCCTGTCTTTTGCATAGAAACAATGAGGCCGTGATTTATGGAGAGAAAATATAACCATAATGCTGCTGCAGAATTGTCAGATATGGAAGAAAAAATGGTTGATGGTTTATTAAATTAGGCAAAAAGCTTTCACAAGTAAGTAGAGCCTTCAAAATAAAGTATTTTTTGAGCTAGGATAAATAAAGAAGCAACTGAGTAATAGTTTATACCAGAGTTGTCTACGCAAATGATGTTGCAAGATTAAGTTGTGCAGAGAGAGTATCTGTTAGTTTCTGTGAAACTGCCTTGTTTTACTCTGTGATCTCAAAAGTCTATATTTAATTGCTATAATAGAATTTTTAAGGAGATAATGCTAACATAATTATTATATTTATTAGTTTCAAAAACGATACTTGGTTTGGAAACAAGTCTGCACAGGAAGATACCTTGACTTGTTCTCACGATCTCTCTGCTACAGCAGCATACAGTGAAAGTAAGGGGTGCAGGGGGTTATGACTCTTAAGCTAGATGCTTATTTCCTTGTGAGGATAAAATAACTTATATGTCATTATTGCTGTATCTAGGTTAAAATCTTACAGCATAATTGCTAGATAAAGTTCCAAAACTATTTTATGTTGAGACGAATGACATCATTTGTTGATAAGCTGATGACTGAAGAATGATGAGGGGGTGTCTCTTGCTAGAATCCTTTTATGAGCTATCCTTTTTGCAGCCCAGTTACAGGGATTCAGAGTGAAATTTTCTTTAACCTTTTTATCCCAACAGAACAGGTAACCTTTCTCACAGTAATATTATGCTATTCAACTGGCAGCTATTAAAATTCATGGAGAAAGTGTTACTTTACTACATCTGTGAAGTTCTTTAAACTTGATAGAAATTATCTCTATGCTAAGCAAAGACCTGACATTGGTCTGACCTTTTTCAGAGGTTTCAGGGGGCATGGCAAAACAGAAACAATTAATCTTACTATAAAAGTGAGGCTGAGAAATCATCTGGGTCAAATAGTCATCAAGTGAAAAGCTGACATTCTAGAAGTGTAGGACTGATCACCTTTAGAAAAACAAGTTGCCAAGCCAGCGATTAGCTGATACTAACAATTTATCTGGTTTTGGGGTAGGCCATTAAGAAGCAGGTACTATGCTAGTGCAGTGTCACTGCCTGGTTTCTTTACTTCAGCTCCACCTGCAGATTCCATACAATTCCAGAAGGCAGAAAGAACTGAAGCCCATGGTCTTCTTTCCTATCTTCTGATTTTGTCAGTCATTTCCAGAAGCCAGTAGATTTATTCTCCTTTATAGTCTCTAGTGTTAGTATTTAAAAGTATGGTCACTGGCATGCCTGTGTGCATGAGTATTTACCTGAATCACACTAAAAAGCACTGATTTACACAAGCCAAAAAATTTGTGGGATGATGCCAGTTTCATATGTTCTTGAATTGAAGTGAAATGTTTAAAAATGTAAGGCTATTTAATCATGAACTGTCAGATTTTGGCTTACAATATATTTGATAACCTGTAACCTGTTATTTCTAAAAAAGGAGGAAAAAAAGGAAAGATTTTATTACACTATGTGTGAAATCTGAGCATGAACCTTTATATTTTGAGGTTGTGGTTGAGTTATTAAAGTACAGGCTGATCTCTAGCATCAAAATATTTGATGTACTACAACTTAGGGATCTGCTAGAACTATTTTAATGAAGTTCATTACAAAATTGATGGCTCTCGTTTTTTTCTTTCCTGACAAAAAGATCTGAYTGAGTTGCTTTGAGATCTTAATTCCAAACAAGTTTGCTGTTTGCTGAGTGATTCAATTTTAATGGATTTTCTGTAATTTTGGATCTGCTTAGTGTTAGTAGACCTTTTGCTTTGGTGAGATTTACTGTTCAACAAGCTAGACAGCAATTAATAAAATTAACCAGCCAAGTTTTAAGAACCCCAGAAGACATGAATCGTGAACTGCTGTTTAAAGTGATTGAGAACCTCCAACTAACCAAGCTTTGGTTCTTGCAGTGATGGTCTTAGAACAGTCTCAGTTAAAGGGAAATAGAGTACCACAGACATGTGTAGGCACAGATAATACTGCAGCTTCATTTCCCTTGCTCTTGCACTTGCTTTTCTTAAAATGGCACCACTGGGCAGATTGTGCACTTCCTGGCCATTGCAGTCYGGAGGGAGCAGAGAGCTGGTGCTCAGGGGACTGGAGCTGGCAGGGCTGGCTGTGGTCACCCCGGCTGTCACCACTAGATGCCGGTGTCCCTCCACCGCATCCAGTGCAGGCCGGGCTGCAGGAGGGCAAAGCCGAGCTTCTTGCTGCCTGCGCTTTGCTCTGATGTGGCAGAGGGAGGAGAAGGATACTAGCTCTGTGCATTCCTCTGCCAGTTTCCTTTGTTTCAGCACTCCTCCTCTGGACTGTAGTGTTTTCAGGTCTCCACAGAAGCATCCTCACAGCAGCAGAGTCCTCCTGCTTTGTAATGCTTCATTGTACTATTTAAGTTATCTTACCTGTCATGTCATCATTCCGAATATCACGCAGTAATACAAGCTTCTGTGTGAACTCCCTGTATAGCTCCAGCCATATTTCAGCACATACTGGCTATTCTGTGTGGCTCGGGTCATCTGTGGCTTGGGTCACATCCGAAAAAGCTGTGCCGTATCTGGGCTGATTTCAAGTTAAAGTAGTTATTTCTGTAAAAAAGGATTTTTGCTGGATGTCCTAGTGATTTATGACAGATGGCTGTAAGAAGAGTTCTACTGGTGGATACAAAAGGGCTGTGATCCATGGCAGGAGCCCCAGTTATTAGTGCTAAATCCCAAGGATTGTTTACTGTATTCATTAGGCTCTTGGATGCTTGGACAGGTGCACCTTCACCCAGTTTGCTGGTAGTACAAAAATGGGAAGAGTGGCTGGCACAGCAGAGGGTGGTGCTGCCATCCACAAGGACCTTGGTGGCTCGAGAAATGGACTGATAGGATCCTTAAGAAGTTAAGTACAAGATCCTGCACCTGAGAAGGATCAACCCCAGCCACCACTATAGGCTGTCTGACTGGGAAGCAACTGTGCAGAAAGGGACTGGGGGTCCTTGTGGACACCAAGTGGACACTGGCAAGCAGTGTACCTTTGCAGCAGAGAGACCAGCACCATCCTGGGCTGTGTTAGGAAGAATTTAGACAGCAGGGCTAAGGAGGTGATCCCTCCATTTTATTCAGTACTGTTAAGGCCATACCTGATGTGCTGTCTAGTTCTGGGCTTTCACTGGGGAGGGGAG